TATCTTCAACCGTCAAGACATCTATAATCCGCAGAATCGCACCATCCCAGCCACTGCCCGACGTTGACGGCTCTTTTGGGTCCGCGAGAAGAGAAAAATGCGAAGAATTAAGCCAAGTCGGGAGTTCCGTGATACACTGATTTGTGTATGATTCTGGGGGAGGGGGATTGTGGTGATACACCGAAAGACGATTCGCGTCGCCACATAGGTAGTCTCTGTCCGCGCTACAGGTCATCGCGCATTCGGTGTCGGGGACTTGAGCTGCTGCACCCGTGCTGTTGCCACACCCTGCGTCGGGAATTGATGAATTATCGAAAGTGAGTTGGAATAAGCAGTGGCTTGAGGACTTACAGCATTCGCCACCGTATTCAGTGCCCATTACGGTATACCCATTGAACGCGCAAGCATCTGCGCAGGTAGCTGGGGTTACACCACCATAAGCAGCCTCTTGAGCACTGAGGGTTCTTTGGCTGGGGCTATCCCTGGAAATGACAAATAGAATAAAAAGTTCAACGCCTCAGGCTGTCGTTGCCAAACGACGCACTCGAAACAACCACCGTAGGACCAATAACTGCGGGACAGAGTCGCAGGACTGCTGGGTGTATAAAAATCGCCGTTCCAATATACATCGATACGATTAGGACCGCCGCAAGTCTGAGTCGGATCGCCGTTACACGGCATATTGCATTCGCTAGAGTCGGTCCCTTGCCAGCCATTTTCGTGAAATAGCTCGTCGCAATCTACAGAAAGAGATGAAGCGGGTTCCAAACTCACTGGATTTCTTCTACGAAGAAGCTGGTGCGAAGAACTCACAGCAATCACCCCCGTCTTCAACACCTGCATATGTCCAATTGTTTGCAGCGCAGTACTCGATGCATACGACTTTCGTCATGGTATTTGATGGAAGGCCGCTGTTGGTGGTGAGCAGGCGACCAGCCGATGTATTATCGCTGTATGGTAAAACAAGTCTTAGCCGAACCAGCGGAGTGAAAGTTGAAAGTCGAAACAACTCACATGAAACAAGAATAAGGATACCATCCAGTTGGGATGTCTGTCTGCCGCACGGAAATGCTGGAACCACTGGCATATACAACAGCGAAAAACTAGATGATGGCAACGATGAGATTGAAGCAGAGTGGATGTGTGTACTACGAGCAGTCCGACCGAGCCTACTAACCCAGAATTCACAGTGCATGAACAACGCAACGAGCAGCCGATGAGATACTTGGAGGAGTCTCATATTAGATCCCGATGAACCAATAGCTTGAGCCCACTGGACGAGTTTTATATAGTACAGGAATTTTTTTCGCTGACCAGGACAGGACCGCCAAGCATTACCTAGAACTAAGTTTTTAGTACCCCTTGATGTTCCGAGAAAAAGGGCGCACTGAGAAAGGTAAGGCTTGCTGACTCCTGGTCTGGTGTGGTTCTATTCAGAGCAGCATATCAGGAACTGGACGGCGTTGAGGAGATAGAGATAGATCGATGCGCCGACATGGCCATGTGAACGCTAGTACGTGATACCAAAACTAAGCCCCGAGGGGGGAAGGGGGGCATTTGAAGTATATCAATCAGACAGGTTACTCCGAGTCGTACTTGTCGTCTCTCGAGATGTCCCATCATGCAGTTGCCAACGTCCGCATCAACCTTCAAGTTCAGAATATGATCATTTTTTACTTTGACACGACCGACTGGGCAGGGAATTTGATCTTGATCTTGGAGTTGGACAAGGAGATAGTGATAGAAAGCCTATGTCAGGCTAGAGCGCCAAGCTCTCAGGCTTCAAAGTCGACGTGAATAATCAGATTTCAGACATCGGACAAGGGTGAAGGGTAATAAGAAGTTGGGCAGGCTCTTTTTGGCTCTTCTCTAAACTCGGCGGACGAAAAAACCCGAGACGAATTTGCGCATCAGGCTTCACCAGATAGACGAATGGACCTACATACACTCTCGATAATAATCCTAGTACCATCTTGAGTGTCCATCGAAATTTGTTGTCCGAATAAGCAATACTCTGACGAGAAAAAAGAGGTGACCTTGTCGTTGACTCGGATTAGCCCTAACCAGCCGATTTACTACTATGCAATAATACAATGTCTGCCTTGGAATACAATAACAATACGGTCTTCGGGTTCGCTCTGGGTCAACAAGTAGAAAATTGATCATGACATATGGGTTGTTCAGTACAACATCGAGGATAGATAAACACGTATTCGACAGGAGTCGGAAACTTAAAGAAACCAGAAAAAAAAGCAAAAGAAGAAACCAGAGAAAAAACCCCTCAAACCCTCCCCTTCCTCCTCCTCGAGGAATCTTGAAACAAAACAGAACAGAATAGAACAGAACAAAATAACAAAATAACACATTCACTCAAAACCATCGCAGGAAAAGAAAACCCCCCATCAACGACGCTGGTCACCTTACACCATACTCCTCACTGCACCCACACATCAACCGCAACACACTCCTCCACATCATAATCCGCGTGGCCCACCTGAGGCTGCGAAACCAGATCCAAACGCCCCTCCGGCACCGCGGAGGTATTAGGACACATCGCCCACGCATCGGCGTGGTAGTCGCCTTGGAGAACAGGCCCGTCAGGGGTCGGTGAGTTACTGCTGCCTGCGGGGTAGGGATTTGCCTGCCAGGTGGAAGATAAGTAAAAAAGAAAGGGTTGTGATGATAAGCTTGAGGGGGGGAGGGGGAAGGGGGGAGGGAGTAGGGGGAATGGGAGGAAGGGGAGGAGAAGAGGGGGAAGGAGGAAGATGGAACTCACCGTTGTACAAAAATTGGGATAATCAATACTCGTAATACTCGCCTCAGTTTGGAACCGCACACTCTCCCCTGCGACGAGGTTGAGGCTGAGCATCGGGGCTGCTCCGTCCCGGTTCGGGGAGGAAGGGATCAAGTACCCGGCTCCCTCGCCGCTGAATGAGAGCCCGAGCCAGGTGACGGTGCAGTTTTGACATGCCTGTGTAAGATGTAGTAAGAAAATAATCATTATCATGGATTAATCCACAATCCAGGACATACCGAAAGCACCGAATACGTCGTATCCCCCTCCACCAAAACATCCACAACACTCAGCTGCGCGCCCTCCCACCCCCCTTCAGCCGTCGGACCTTCCTTCGGGATCGCGAGCACGGTGAAATTGGAGATATCCACCCAACTAGGGAGGTCTAGATCCAGGCATATCCCGGTGTAGGTTTCCTGCGGCGGGGGGGTGTGATGGTAGACTGATAGACGAGCTGCGTCGCCGCAGAGGTAGTCTCGGTCGGCGGTACAGGGCATGGTGCAGGAGGTGTCGGGGAGTTGGGAGGCGGAGCCGGTGGTGTTGCCACACCCTGTATCGAATGGAATATTTGGTTTTGAGTGAGGACTGAAATACTAGTCACTAAGTAGAAAGAGGGATGGACGCACAACATTCACCCCCGAATTCGGTTCCCATCACCGTATAATCATAAAACGCGCATGTATCTGCGCAGCTCGGGGGGGTGACCAGACCCGAATCAGGGTATACCTGTTGAGCGAGTGTTCGCTGGGTAGTGTCGTCCCTGTGTACACCCTAGTATCAACACCGCCATACTCGAAAAATCATGGGGGGGGGAGAGGGGTACATACACGAAGCACCCACTGTACGACCAATAGCTCTTGTACAAGGTAGGCGGGCTGGAAGGTATAGTCGAGTCGCCGTCCCAATACACGTCGATGAGGTTTGGACCGCCGCATGTTTGAGAAGGGTCGCCAGTGCATGGCATGTTGCAGTCGCTCGCCGCGGTGACCTGTGAACCGACTTGATGGAGGATTTCATCGCAATCTTTCCGAGGAGTAAGTCAGATCATTACGGTGGAAAATTGGAAAAAAAAATTGTTTATGGGACATACAACATTCGCTGGCATACTCAACACCTGCGTACGCCCAGTTGTTGGAGGAACAATACTCGATACATTCGGGTACGGTCATTGTTTCGGTAGGGAGCCCGCTGTTGACAGTGAGCAGCCGCCCGGCAGAGGTATTGTCGCTGGAAAACAAACGAGGAATGAGGTATGAGGAAGAGGAGGAGGAAGAGGAGGAGGATAGCGATGATAATTGATTAATTAATTAATGAAATACACGGTATAGTAAATGGATATTACTCACATGAAACAGGAATTAAAAGCCCATCCGCTTGGAATGGTTTGTCGAGATATCATTGGAGAGGTTTTGACTGGAGTGAGCTATGTATTGGATCGAGGGTATGTAAGTCCGTGAAATCAAGGGAATAATAGTTCACGCTCACCCAGGATTGAGCAAGTATGAAGAAGAACTTGATAACAGAAAGTTGAAGAGGAATAAGGAGTATCATCCCGAAGCATCGCAGTTCTTGGACGTATCCCCAGAGGACTCATATATACTAACGAAATAACTTGGGGTGTCCCGATGTATCACCCAGGCGTTTGAAGAATCACTTGACTCTTGACTAGGACTGTTCTAATCCATCGAAGTTGAGTCGACTGAGTAGCCAGGAACTATGTCAAACCCAAGGTGATTTGCTTGATGGGTCCTTTCGACCTTTTTCGACATTCTGGGTGCATATCTCTGATGGATGTAGCAGCTGAGCAGTAAGGAACAATGGAAAAATTCAGATATCACGAAATCAATGTCTGGGGATTAGTATGAATAGAGTTTTCACGGTAGTAGGTACGTATGACACCCCCCTTGAAGACCGTTGAATAAGGGAAAAATGTCGAGAGTCAGTACTAGTCAGTGTCAGATGGGAACTTAGTTGAGACGTGCGCGTGATGCATTGGTGAACGGTTCAGGTACGATTAGAATTTGGGAGTTGGGAGTTTGACGCCTTTTAGATCTTGGGCTAGACTAGCATAAGCACTCTCTAGTGTTCGGGTACCAGAACTCGGGGATTGGTTGATTTGCGTGTGGAGATTCTCCCTTTGGGAAGTGCAAGACGTAGTCGAAAGAAAGGAATGGTGATATCACATGATCTTGGAAATGTTTTTATTGGCCGCCTGGCGAAATGGCATCGCGTCTGACTACGATATTCAGAAAGTTGGTAATCAGGAGATTGCAGGTTCGACCCCTGCGGTGGTCACTTGTTGCGTAGAAACGATGTTTTTTTCGTGGCATGGTTGGTTGACTTGCGTTTTCTCTTTCTCTCTCCAGCTTCTTCATTTTTGAGTTGTTTGCAGTAGCAAGATACTTGGTAACTATATATAACACATGTATATCTAGTACAATTAGCACTTGTTTATTTACATAAAACTACTCTGCGTACACAAGAAGAAATTCAACTGTGGACCTACATAGATTAATAATTCACATCAGTTAATCCACAAAAGAAGAAATACCGCTACTCACGGTAAGAGAACCCTGCACCACCTTCCCATTCCTATCAATCTTAAACGTACACCCGCCAGGGTGACATCTCCCTATCCCCTCCAAACTCACCTCAATCACACCATACTGCACAACCCTCCCCCTAGCCCCGGCGCCTCCCGCACCCTCACTTCCCTGGAACGAATTCGAAAACGCCAAAACCCCACCACCACCACCGCCCCACCCAGGCACCACCTCCCGCACGGCCTTGCGTACTCGCTTGTAGACGTCGCTGGGGATGTGACCGTCCTCGTACGCTGTGGAGATTTTGGGCGACTCGTGGGGGAGGAGGGGGACACCGCTGTGTGTGCCGAGGAAGGTTATCGTGCCTGTGCCTGTGCCTGTGTTGGGGTCCGTGGGGGGTTGGGAGGGGGTGAGGGATACTGCGCGGGTGGTTATATTCGGACTAGGTTCGGGGGATACCTGGAGAAGAAGGGGGAGAAGGGAGATATGGATTATAGTACATTGATTAGGGGGATTGGACGAACCTCAAAGGGTAAGGTATACGCAGTCGAGGCAAGACCTACGACGATGAGGAATAGGGTGGTGTTGTATTCGAAACGCATTGTTTTCGTGTTTCTGGTACTGTGTTTCTGGTTTTTGTGTTTGGTGGTTTGTATTCTGGTTTTCTCAAACTGACCAGCAGTGAGTTCCTTTGTCTGTGGGGGGGAGGGAGGGGTGATATAAAGGTAAAGACGATTTCTTTTATTTCGGTATATTTTGCTATTTATATATACAATTTACAATTTACAATTGTGAGGCGATGTGTCAATGGAGACCACAGGGGGGTTTCATCTATCGGTGAAATTGGAAAATCAACTATACATAACTGCCCAGAACTGCTTCTCCGTCGACCCCTTTGAACTTGACGTCTACGAGATGAGATAACGAGATGGATATAGCGAGGTTTTTTTTGGTTTCCCCTGACGGTTCGTCGCTGTACATATATACTAATAGTTCAATGGAATGGAATGGAAAGTGTGGAAAGTGGTTGAGCGTAAGCCCTGCGTTAAAGTATACCGCGAAAGCTTGCGTCGGAGGACCCGTCGGAGTGTGTATGTTACGAACAAACGAACAAATGAATGTCAAATCAAATGAATGAATGCCCGCCGCCGTCCCGTCGCTGTGGAAGACGACGACGACGGATCGCTGTAATTACATATCCAGCGGGGTGGTTCCACCTGGGGCAAGTACGATACTGGCACAGAATGAGCGGTGTACGATCTACTACATACTACGATCGTACATAAACAACAGCAAAAAATGTCTTCCCCCCCCCCTCATTCCGAGCCAGACTCCGAGTCGGGAGGAAACTACACAAATCCGTATTGTTAAAACCAATGGATCCACATCGAGTTACAGTGTGGAGGAGTACTCACCTCCATCGACCCCGCGACAATCTCACCACTTTTATCAACATCAAACCAACACCCATCGAGACACTCCCCGATCCCAAGTAAGAACACTTTGAATGCATCATTTTTATGACCAGAGGCCTTGAACCGGTTCTTGAACGCAAGAACTAGATCCCAATCTTTGTCTTCAGGGGGGACTAGTGATTTTACTGCCTTCCGGAGCCGTTTGTGGATTTTTAATGGGACGAGATTGTAGTGTTGTGCGTCTTTGGTGGAAAGCACGAATCCGGTTGAAGGGGCACCGGATATCGCGGCGCCGGAATGCGTTTCGACGAAGGTGAGGGTCGCTAGGAGCTGTGGGTTGGTATTTGCACGGGCGAATTTGGGATGCGGAGTGGATGCGGAGTCGGGCTAGAAGAGACATATATATATGACATAGATATGAGTGCGGAAGCCCTCACGCACCTGAAAAGGCATAGCATACCCGACTGTGAATACTACACCAACACACAAGACGAGATAGTAAACATGGAAGTTGATGAAGCGCATTTTTTTTTCTTGAAACCTTGCGAAGAAAAAAAAACA